AGCCAGATGTAGCTTTTGAGTCATTGTTTGCCAATCCCTGATTCAGGGGATTATCTTTTAGCAAATGTTTGGCCTAAAATAACTGACCAATAAATGCTACTACTGTTATTATTAGTAGCAATTTTTTGCTGTTGTGTTTTTGGCCATTTGGACCATCAGGGGATGCCCAATATATCTCTCCACTTCTTTCCCTGCCTTCACCTACTTAATAGTTTCCAAAAAAGGCCAAGTGAACAGAGCCACTCAAACTCCCAAGTGCAAGTGCATTCCAGATTTTGCCCTGCAGTGTTCTGTTTAATGCAAATTCCCAAATCACTTAGCATTTAAAAGCAAAGGCCGCTTGGATCCCTACAGTAGGTACAATGACATGGCTTCCCATTAAAAATTTCTACTGCCCTTCACAAGGGAATTGCCTTTGCAATTTCGCATGGCTTTCTCACTGCTGCTGGAGAAAGTAAAGATTATTACAACCAATTTACACACAGGACACTGAACTTGGACAAGATGGGCTGGCTTGTGTGAAGTCCCACCGAGTCAGGAACAGAGCTAGGACTTCATCTCAGATTTTTGGGCTCTAAATCCTAGCTTGGTCTCCCACATCCCACCTGTGCTGAATATTGGATTACTCAGGGTCTTCACTGCCTCTGAAGCCAGCACCTGCTGCTGCCTCTGTCAACACCGGCACCTTTGAGATGCCTGCCTGCATTGGCCTGTCCCATGCTTCAGGCTGGGTGTCCTTGGGGTCTATCTCAACCCTCCAGCTGTAGCTTTCTAACATCACCCCGTCAGCTTTGCCCACATCAGTGTAAGCCCTCATTTCCATATTAAATCCTTTATTCCTGTAATAGCTCTAACTGATCCCAGCAGATACACCCGGCAAGCACAAATACTATTTTCCTAAAGAGCCACTTATTAGATCTAAGCCAAGCCAGCAAGTGGGGTCAAGACCTTCACATTCAGTCATTTCCTGGCAACTGATTCCAACTAGAGGGATGAGTTGTGAAGCAGTTTATTTTTCACTTTCAAGGAAACAACGCACCTTCTCTTTCTATAATTTCTGCAATTCTTTTTCCTGTTTGAGCAAGGTATCTGTTTCTTAATTCTGAATGGAGGGTGCCATCATCTATGAAGAATCTGTGATCCTGTACCTCGTAAGCTGCCAGGCATATCCATAAGCTTTTAGTTGATTTACAGACTAATAAATCAGGAACGTACTTCCAAGATTATAGTCTGGCTCAAGTTTCCCTGCAAGAGGCACATTTCACGCAAGGCCCCCAGATGGACATTTGTTCAGGGTCCATTGCAATCCCTTGGTCCTGTTCTGCACATTCCAAAGTATCAGCTCTGATTTCAAGATATTTTAAAGCTGACTCACTTGACCCAAGATCATGATAACATTGGTCCATGTATGATTTCCACACCACATTTTGTAAACACACTCCCTAGTGCGCCTTCTCAAGTTCCTGCATACTGCTTTGGTCTAGGAATCATTCAAAATCATTTGAGTGGTAACTTAGTCAGGAGATACTTTTCTCTTCAGGAGACTCAGTATGGCCACAGATGAAGTCCCAAAGACATCAAGATTTTCAGTAGATGTGGCTTCTAATGGGGAAGAATGTTCTAGATATCCAGAGAAGGGTGTTCCAGGACAGGGAACAACAAGAATAAAGGCTCTGGACTGGGAGTGTGACATCTGGAGCAGAGAACAAGAGAAGGAAGAACAGTAGAAGATGAGGTTAGGTAGGTCACGGAGGAGGGAGGTGCTATAAGGTCTGGAAGACCGCCATTTTGACTTTTATCCTGAGCGAGTTGAACATTATTCAAAGATTTTGAGAATAGGCTGAAGGGAGTCAGTCTAGAAAGAGATGGTGAGAGCTGTGTGGGGTTGAGATATTTCCTCCATAGGAGTCACTTTTGCATATGACCTACCAATTGTCACCAGATCCTAGACTTTGATTCTGACTAGCTGGGATGGTCGACTGTCTTTTTTCAAGAAGGGAGTGAGCATAATCCAGGTGTAAGAAGATGAATGCAAACATTTGTTTGTTAAGTGTGGTCAAAAGTTTCTGGTTCTTCCAGGATACACAGCTACTCAGCCTCTGTCACAAGTAGGTGTGACTATAGGACTGCCCAGGACCTGGGTAATGGAACATGAGTAGAAGTGTCTGTACTACTTTGAAGTCTGGCCCATAAATGCTGCCCTATGTGCTCCTTCACGTGCCTTCTTCCCTGCTGGCTCACTGGGATGACCCACCAGCGTGAAAAGCATGTGAAGTCAAATACAGGCTTACGTTGGAAATTTAAGCAAATATGCATCTCCCAGTACCACATCCCTCTCCCCCCATGATCATGCCTTCACACTCGAAACCTGATGAGCATTCAGCCCCTCAGCTACTATGCCATGCACTGTCCCAGAATTTCCAAGGGGCAGTTCTCTAGATACTGATGCATCCTAGCCATCAGATGTGAATTAAAGGCGTAATTATGCAATGTCTAGTTAACAGTGAACATACTTGAGTAGATCTTGAGAACTTACATCTAACTCATCAGCTTCAAAATACTGTGCAGGTTGGGGGACTCTTGTGGGATAATTGCCCCATTTCAGCACTTTCAGTGACTTTGGGACACTTCTGGAGGCCATGAGTTATTTCAGGGATCTTGAGAATTCCTACTCTATGGCTTTATTCATGCTTGTGTGACTGACCTCAGATGACCATCTTAGTAAAGCTCACATGACCCAAGCCTAATAAGCATGCAACTTGAAACTGATCTTGCTTCCTAGGTTTACAAAGGCTATTGAATGTCCTGAACTGTGTACTCTAACATTGGCCCCATTCCTTTCAAAACATTTAATGCCATGTCTGTGTTGCCTGAAGCTTAAAGATCTATGCTATTTTCTTATGTATATGAAGAATTGTGCCAACCAGTTATGGGTCCTCTTCCTTGTTAAGGCTCTATAGTACCCATGTTGGATCCCATATGGGAACTGTCCCTTTCCTATTCCATATAATTCAGATGGGGCTGCCAATCAAGGGGCTGAGTCCAATGCCCATAAAGATTACATGCCCAAGGATGGCCAATCATGAGTCAATTGGAAGTTGCTACTGGTTCTAGGACAGTGTCTGTTCTTCTGAGATCATGAACCTGGATCTTCTGGCACCGTTTTCCAAGAAGAGTAAATAAAAACAGGACTGAGAAACTGGTGAGGGAGAAATAGATTCCTAATGGTTGGATCCAGCCCTGCTTGATACTGACAGTTCCATACTTGGTTGCATTATGCAACTCACCTTAGGAAATTTAACTCCATCTTGTATTGTTTAGATCTCTATTACTTATAACTGAGAGTTCGAATTACTGTCCAGTTTAATTATAGGATGTCAAGGGAATAAGTATACTTTCCCATTGACCATTCTCCCAGGGGTCTCACTGACTGCATATTGTTTCCTTATGTATACTCATTATACCTTTGTTACAGCTATCTGAATCTTTCTGATTCAGTTTACTCTCTGAATCTACTGCCTCGAGTGTGGTTGCAAGCTAACTGGAGAAGAACAGTACTCCCAGGTCACTGATCCCCATGGGCTTCCCCTAAGACTCAGGTCTGAGTTTATGACCTTGAAAATCTCCCAATAACAGCAGTTATTTTCCCCCACCCCTAACCTCTGTTGGTTTTTTTAGAGAGCCTTGCTTTGTTGCCCAGGCTGATCTTGAACTTCTGATCCTCCCACTTGGGCTGCCCAGGAAGCTGAGATTATAGGTGTGTGCCACCATGGCTAACTACAGAGTAGTTTTGACTAGGATCTCTGTGTTAACCAGTGGTTTAGGACTGCATTAGAAAAGGCTCTATTCATCTTAATCCAGCATTTTCTTATTTATTGGTAAAGAATAGGATCAATTCCAACTCATTTCAAGGGGCCTTGAATTGTATGCTGAGTTGTATTTTAGTTTTGGGGTTAGTGCCATTTCAATGCTCCTTTTCATGGGTTCTGATACCCTAAACCATTAACACCACTGTTTCCATTCTACAGAGCCCTTAGTTTTAGATCTATGAACCCAATATGCTGATGATCCTTCAGATCAAGGGTTGACAAACCCACAGGGCACATCCAGCCAGCTGTCTATTTTCATAAATTGTTTAACTGGAATACAGCCATATCCATGTATATATGTATTGTCTGTGGGTTCTTTAGTAGTTGCTACAAAGACCATATGGCCACAAAGCCAAAAATACTTTCTTCCTTTATAGAAAATGTGTTTGAGAAGTACCCTGAGGGATGAAGGAATGATTGTTGTAACAAACCTTTGGGGAATACTGCTTGGGAAGGTCCATTCTAGATTAGTTGGGGCAGGACATGACATAGCAGATATTTGGGATTCCTCTGTCCTATAGCACCTATATTTTCTTTTCTGAGAGACCTAGGGAACAATACATGTTCTAAATCTTGGTTCTGTAGGTCTTGTATTTGTGTTTCCATGTGGATTCAATTTTGGCCAAGGGTAGAGTTACTTTTCCTGCTCATGGGCATTCTGACTTCCCCCACGACTGTCCCTCCTGCATCAAAATGTGGCTCCAAATTACAATTAACAGTCCATAAAGATGTTCCCATTGGTTCCCATGGCTCAATCTGAGTCACTTGTGGTTTGGAATTAATTACAAGTGTAAGAGGAACAGTGTGCTTCTATGTGGTCAGAATCTTTAGAGTTATTACAGTCACCTACCCTTTTCCCTTCAAAGATGCTGTAGCAAAACCACACTCATCCTTCAGATCAACTCCCCAGGCCCAGGACACTAACTGGTTACCCACAACTTTGCCTCTGTATTCCAACCATCTCAGCTGTAGAATCCTAAATATCCGCCACATTTTGAGTTCCCACCAATATATTCTTTCTTTTTCTCCATTATTATGGCCTAAATTCATAGCAGAATCTATGACAGAAGTGGCTGTCCACTCTTTAGATTGCTGCAGAGCAGAAAAGTGAGTCAAGAACCATTCAACCAATAGAAAGAATGAAAATGCAAGTTTATTTGAAAGTATAAAAATTTTTTTAAAAACACAAAAAACAAAACCAAGCCTAACCAAAAAACAAAAAGCAACCAACCACATACAATCTTTCCAGTTTGCATTAACTTTGAACATTGCACACTATTAACCATTTAGTTGCATTTTAAAAAATGTTAATTTTAAGGTTGAGTCAGGCAATAAGCTAACAATGAGTATAACTATCTTAATGCTAAAATAAAATGCTGACCTCATTTGAGAGAAAAGAAAGCAGAGATCACATTCTAGTTGGTGTAGATTTAGGTAACGTATTAAAAAAATCCTAGTTGGGATGAGTTTAAAAATATTATGGGGCACTTATTTGACATTTTAAGTAGAAGGGGAAAATCTAAAAATCCTGTAGATTTGGTGTCCTATTTATATGTTTTTAAAAAAAATCCATTAAAAATCATATCCATAATAAAATGTCCCTGTGTTTGTTTTTTTAAAAAATGAACAGGCTCTCCTTATCTACTAAAACCATTTGTTTTTCCTAAGATGGCTGGAAGCCGAAAAGCACGTGGGATTAACTCACTGCACAATTAATTAAAATTAGAATCCTCTCCTCTAAACAATTTCCAGAGCACCAGAAAAAAGCAGGCACCCACCAAAGGGAGGAATAATGCCACACCGACTCACAGGAGATGATGTGTGCGACTAGACACACTGTGTCTGCTATCCAAGTTCTTCATTGGATTACTCAGAAAATAACTCAAGTGCTATTATGAGACTGAAAAACACAGCAACTAGGTTCCTCTACTTAAAACAAAACAAACAAACAAAAAAACTCCCAAATGGCCAGCTTTCCTGTTATTTACTCTGGATTTGGTTTAAAAAAAAGAAAGAAAGAAAAAGGAAAAATCTACAGAGCAGGGTCACGGAAGGGAAGGGTACTTCATCCCGCTTCCTGCAGGCATTGTTTTAATTAGCATCACACGGGTTACTGAAAATTTCTTGGGCCACGGAAAGAAGCCCTGAATGTGTGGCAGCTGCCCTAGGTGGCTCCACTTGACTCCAGCTTTATCCTTCTGTGGTTTTCTTACCAAACAACGCCCAAGTTTTTACCCATTATTCCTGCATGGGGGTGGGCCCTGTGGCTGGCTGGGCGCAGAGAAAGAGGAAAACTAGCATAAATATACAGACTATGAACTGAGGGAGGCAACTCTATTTCTGCATCCTTCAAGAACTCGATAAATAATAACCTCCAAGTGCAACAAAGCAGCAGGTTACTCTGGGGGGACTTACGGGGCTGGGTGAGGCAAAGGCTGGATCTCCTTTTGCATCTTTCTTTGGACTTTACTATAGGAAAAACAAACAAAACAGATAGCTTTCCTATACACATATAAATAGTCCCTTAACTAGAAGGGAGAAAACCAAACACACCGTTTAAAATGCATTTCTAAGAGATTAAAAAAAAAATCCAAATGGAAAATCTTGACTCCAAACAACCGTGTTGCCCATGTTGCTCAAAGAAGACAACTCTCTACTACACTTCTTATCTACCAGGATGTTAGGCGAGGGTTGGCCCTAACTGTAACCCCAGCACTAACTCAGGGTGCTCGTCCTGGGACATGGGGAAGAGTATGTGTGGAGTGGGGAGCCAGGAGCTGTCATGGGAAGTTCGGGGCCCGGCTCTCGTGTGTGTTAGAAACCAGGGTCCTCAAGTCCAAACGCACGGGTCAAACAGACTCCCAGGTGCGAAAGGAACTTAGGAGCCCAGTGCTGAAGCTGCATGCATAAGCGAGACATGTTGGGCGTGACTCACTGGGACAGAAGGCCAGATCAGCTTTTTGGCCAACTCAAGTTGGGTCTTCATCCCTTGGCTGTGGCAGGTCTGCTGGGAGGTGACAATCCAGAGGCTAGGGAAGGGACAGTGGGGAAATCGGGCCCTGGCTCTGGCAGTCTGCATGTTAGGAGCCAAGAACTCAGATTAAACTCACGGTAAGGACTCCCTGCCTATTCTGAGATGAGACTGATGGTCCACACTGCCAGAAAATCCTCTCAAATGAGAATTCTTGGGAAAATTTCAAAAGCTAGTATCTATCCAGGGTAGACAGCTTCTGAGTCCTTCACAAACCAAAATGACACTGGTGATGCTGAAGGGTGTCGCTCACGGCAAAAGTTTCCTTTGGCCACTTTCTTTGCTAAAGTGAGAGCAATGTGTAGGGTAACACAGGATGGTTTTGAGGTGCACCTGGGTGTTCTGCAGGGTGGCCATCCATTGATGGTCTTCTGGTAGACCACCCAACCCTTGTCCCCAAGTGGAGCAATAAGGTGGTAGCTTCCAAGAGGATCTGGCCCAGTGTCTTCTGCCCTTCTGGATGTGCAGCATGGAACAGAAGCGCTGCTTTCTCGAGGACTACTTAAATACTGTTTCATCTTGCTGCCTGCAAATGTACGATGCCTATTAGGGGGATTCCAACAGTAACAGAATGAAGGGAAACATGAGGTTGTGATCCTGGGCCCCCAAGGAAAAGTGACTTCACAGAAAGATGACAACGCATCATGTCAACCAAGAAGCCAGAAAAATGCTAGGTCACCCCCCAAAGACCATCTCAGGGAGCAGGGGAACAGAGAGGCAGCTGATACCCTAACCTCAACCTGAGACCCCCTTACAGGAACTTAGAAGTGCATCCCATGGGCATCAGTTGTTAGAATAACAAGTCGGAGCAGACGAACCATCTGGACTTTGGGATAGCTGGATTCTATACTTCTTCAGTGCCCGGACTGGGTGCAGAGTCCCTGGGAGGAGCAGTGCCTTCCAGCGGGCCAGGCTGTCCTGAGCTGTGGCTGGGGTCTTCCATACTCAGGAGGCTGCTGGCTGCCCTTGAGCTGGCGCTGTCCACACTCCCTGACCGAGAGCGATAAGGGGGCAGGTCGGCTTGGTTCAGAGACTCGGTGTCTGAAGTGTAGGGTGGTGGGGGAAGGTCGTACCACGCGGGTCTGCAGTGGAGAAAGCAGGCCAGGGAACAGGGGTGGTAGAGAGAGGAAGGGGAAGAAAACACATTAGAACCAAGCCACGGCCGGCAGTGTGGACCCAGCACCAACACCAGGGTGTACGCGAACTGATGCTTCAAGCTTGGAATGAGATTTTCCCTTCAAGTACAAAGGCAGTTTAAAGGGCAGGAAAACCAGTGGTTGGAAACAAAGCAAAGCGAATAGAAAGGTCAGTGTGTTCTGGGTGGTTCATGTCCCCTGGGCACTGCTGAGGCCACACCTTCTGGTTGGATCCAGAATAAGGTTGCCAGGCAATGGCCTCAGCTCAGTGTGAGTGGTCCTCTCTGCTCCCTTAGCCGAGAGTGCTGTGACAGAGAGGCTGGGCGGGCATCTGGATCGACCCTGTGATGGGGCCACAGAATTCTGGGCTCTCGATAAAGCCAACTTTTCCCGTGGACTTGGGGAAGCGAGAGGACATCCCCTCAACACCCCGTCTCATCTGTACCTTGCTTGAAATGAAGACATTTAACAGAGAGGACATTTTGGTTTTTAGCTCCGATTACTGGAAGCATGTTGGTGAGTTGAGCACTGTGCCTTGTACCTCTGATTTGTCACCATCTTGAATGCTCACAAGAATGCTGGGAGCAAGGAGACTTTCACATCCATGGTGCTGGTACGGGGCTGTTAAATGGCTTGCCCATGATCTCAGACAACTACTGAGGTAAGCAGCACTGCCAGGATCGGAACCCAGGCATCCTGCCTCCAGAGTCAGCAATTGCTTAACTTTACTCTCCACTAGACGGTCTCAATAGAGGGGTGGTGAGTGAAAACTTCACTGGGTGAGGAAGGGTCTGCATTCTCATTTGCAGGCTCTGCCCCTACCCCCTGAAGCTCTGGCTGCCTTTTATGAGGAGGGAAACTGAAGATGAAACCATAGAAGGACTGGGGAAATAGCTCAGTGTGAAGGCCATGGGTTCAATTCCCAGTACATCCACCACCAAGAAAAAAAAATAGAAACAATACCAGAGCTGCTACTGGATCAGATACAAAGGCACAAGGCAAAGCCCTGTTATACTGGAAACACAAGTGCAAAATGCCTAATGGGACACAGTGAGACCTGAGCTCATGGGGAAGAGAGATGCTGAGCAGACCCTGAGGGCAGGGAATGGGAATATCAGAATCAAAAGGGGCGCAGACAGTGCTAGTCCAGTGACCTCCAAAGTGAGCTACCCGAGTGCCTTGGAGTCACAGAGAGGGCGGGGAAGGAGAGCTGAGCAGGTAGGGTTGGAGCCTGCCGCTCACTTCAGCGACAGAGCTCTGCTTCATGGCTTTTTTAGTTTCTGGCACTGCCATTTGTAACGAGGGCCACACTCCTTTAAAAAGCTTGGCATGCTCTATCCCACCCCTTTATTTTATAGATAAAGTTAAGGAACTTATTTATTCACTCGTTCACTTGCTCACTGGTCAATAAATATTAATAAAACCAATACAACCTCTCCAATGTGCTGAGCTCTGTTCTGCGGTAGTGGGTGAAGCCCAGAGCTCCCTGGTGGGCAGAACGTGTGCCCTGTGGCATCACAAGGAGCAGCGGGGCTCATGGCAGCGGGATCCTGTCTGGAAACCTCCCTCAGTGACCATGGAGAGGATACTGTGGGGCATTTTGCAAGGTCTGGAGAAGTGTTGCTCAATGCCTCTGTGTGCTGTGTGGCACCCAGGTACTAGGCGAGGTGTGGAGAGCCAACAGCTCTATAAGCATTAAGGTGGACAACTTGGATTTCCTATGAAAGGGTTAAGTGAAATATTGTAGAACTTGCTGCCCAGCTCTGAAGAAGCCAGGCGTATGAGAAAGTGATAAGAACAGCACAAGGACACGGAGCTAGGGAAAAGAAAATAAGGGACTGTCTCAAGGCCTGGGAACCTTTCAGATGTGCCTTATGTAAGATGTTTTTTATTCTTGAGTGCTATAAGAGAGCAGTAAAGTCAATAAAGTAGCTTGGATGCTGGGAGCTCCCCCGACTCTGTCTCTTTGTCTTTCTTTTTCTTCATCCTCACTCCCCCATTCAGGTGTTGTTCAACAAGTGACGGCGGGCTCTGTCAGCGAGGCCAGGAAATGCATCACCCTATTAGATGCCCACCTCGCTCCCAGTCCCCACCCAGCACGCACCTCTGGTCCAGCAGGGCCTCCGAGTAGGAAGGTGGGGAGCCTACTTCCGAGGCATTCTGCTCGGCCTGGCTGGCCACATACTGGATGCCGCTGTTGACGTTGTAGGTGACACTGCAGTGGTGGGGGTGGTCCAGGACCACCAGGCGGGACAGCAGCACAGGGTGCTGCAGCCGGTGCACAGGCAGTGTCATGAGGTTGTTCCGCTTCCGCTGATGATGCAGGACCAGCGCCAGCAGGGCCACCACCAGCACGAAGATGACCGAGCTGCCGATGATGGCGTAGGTGATGCTGGGGTAGTACACGAGCTGGTTGTCCGAGGTCACAAACACCTGCCCGCTGCCTGGTTCTGAGAAACCCGGGAGAGGAGAGACAAGGAGAGAGGGCTGAAATCGGCTCCCCTTTGTCTTTCAAAGTCAGCCATAGGGTCTGCATGCAAATGGTCACAGTGGTATTCTTCCCAAGGGCCCAAAGTGGAACCACTCAGAGATCCACGGATACACAAAATGTGGTGAACGGATACACAAAATGTGGTATATCCACACAGTGAAATACTACTCATCCAAAAACAGAACAAATACCAAGGCACACTACAACATGAGTGACCTTCAAAGACTATGCAGTACAGTAAATCAGGCCCAACAGATCATATACTGTGCGATTCCATTGGTAAGAAATATCCAGAAAAGGCAAACTTATTGAGACAGAAGGTATAGCGGCTGCCTGAGGCTGAGACAGGAAATGAAGGCTAACCGAATAGGCTTGAAGGATCTCGCTGGGCTGACGGGAATGTTCTCAAACTGAACTGTGGTGGTGGTTACACCAATCAGAACATTTACTAAAAATCATTGAGTTGTGCACTTATGACGGGTGAATTTTATAGTGTGTGAATTTGATCCCAATAAAGTCATTTAAAAAGATGGCCTTGGAAATGTAACAGTCCTTGTGGCAGAAATCAGTTTGACCTGGGAATTAATGACAGCACACACATGGACACAGGTGGGTGTGTCTAGGGCTTTGTCTGCAGCGTTTATCCAGTGCCAGGCCCCAGGACCAACCTTTCAGACTGAGGACCAGCACAACACAGGCTAACGGCACGGACTCTGGAGGCCCCTGCGTCTCAGCCTCACTACCTCTACTTACTTCTGAGCCCTTGGGAAAGTGCTACCTCCTCTGGGCTAGAAGCCCTCGGGCTTGTGGGGTATGAAATAAACCACCAATTGTCACGCACACAGCTCCCTGTAAGTGCGCGTTCAACACCCACAAACATGGGCCTTATCACACCTACTTGTCTTCAAGCAACTCTATGAAGTAGGTGCTTTTACCTACCCGCTCCATACTGGAGATTCAACCCAGAACCCTTGCACTGAGCTATATCTTCAGCTCTTTTATTATTATTTTTTATTTTGAGACAGGTAGGTCTTGATAAGTCACTCAGTTGCCCAGGCTGGGTTTGAACTTGTGATCTTCCTGAGCCAACCTCCCAGTGTGCTAGCACTATAGTCATTATTACTATGACACCCAGCAGGAAGAACTCTTTTTTTTTTGGTACTGGGGCTCAAACTCGGGACCTTGTGTTTGTGAGGCAGGCGGCAGAACCACTGAGCTAAATCCCCGGCCCAGCAAGTGCTCCTTTGAAGATGAGGCAAGTGAAGCTTGGAGGAGTTGAGTCCCCTTCCAACATGAGTTAGGGGTAAGGAGTGTGTGGGATTTGAACCTTGCTCCTCACACTGTTCTGCAGCCATCCATCAAGGCCCTCTAGGCAACCTACAGGCACTTCCTCAGTGGTCTGGGGGGAGGGTCTGGACATCCGCCACCCCCACAGTTACCAGCATCCTGCTCTCGGGGTGTGCTGATGAGGCACATGTCAGATGCTCAGGTTGCAGGCTTCCAGGCCAGCAGGTCACATCTGGTGACCCTGGGAAGGTCCAGGCAGGCACAGAAAACCTCAGCAGCCCCTCCTCACAGAAAGCGGGGACCCATCCATGCAGAAAAACTGCAACCGCCTCCACTGTGGCCCAGCTAGAGGAATAATCGTAGCACAGCCCCAGGGAGAAGCTGTGACCACAGCTCTGGGCTTGTTCACCTGCAAAGCAGGGAGGAGGTTTCTGTGGGTCCCCAGGGGCCACAAGAAGGACCTGAAGCGGCAGCAGCAACAGCAGTGCTAGGTGCTTTACTCCATCCCTCTTTCAATTCCTGGATCTGTTTCATGCATCGCTGTATCCCCAGGATGTAGAATGATGCCTGGCATACAATAGGCACACAATAAATGGACAACTGAAGGGAGGAAATCTATTTATCCACACACCCTGGTAAAGTAGCTCCTATTATTATTCCTATTTTTCAGATGAACAAATTGGCTCACAGAAGTGAATTAACTTGACTGGGATCACATAAGAAATAGAGAAGCCAGCCTGGAAACAAGGTATTTTTCCTTCAAAAATCGCTTTCTGCAAAACACACTATTGTCTCTCTTTTCCCTATAGAAACATTTCCTGATTCCCCAAATAATCCTAATCTGAAACAAATGAAGACCTTCCCCCTCAAACCTCCCTTTCTCTGTGCTAATTTTTCTTTCCATCCAAAGCCAAACATAGACTTAAAGCTTCAAAGATTCTCCAAGTTCCTGGTGATCATCATTTCAACATATGTTGTACATTTTTATTGCACAGAAAGAAGTGGATACAATCCCAGCTGATAGGCAGAAGCAGGCTGCCGTGCAGTTCAGGAAGGCAGGCAATTTGGATTTTTCTGGAGACAATTAGCTGTTATAGATAATTAAAAGTTGGAGCTGGGTGTGATGGTGCATATCTATAATCCCAGCACTCTGGGAGGCTGAAGCAGGAGGATCATGAATTTGAGCCCAGTCTGGGCAACTTAGCACTTTAGTGCGACTGTCTCAAAATAAAACAGCTCAGGACAAAGGCCCTGGGTTCAATCCCCAGTACTAGCAAAAAAAAAAAAGTGTGTATGTGTGTGTTTCAGAATTCAGGCTTAAAATGAAATGTCCTTTATTTGTTATCTCCTAAAAAGTCAGAGTCTTGGAGTTGGATCCTGGAACTATCATTTTTATATGTTTGAGGTGAAGCAAGTGATTTAACTTTCATAAGCCTCAGTGGCTCATCTTTAAAGTTATGGCGGTGCTGGCTAACTTCAGCATCATCTCCCTGGGGTGTGGGCAGGGGACTCTATATACGCAAGTGTCTGACAAGAATTTGCACTCAGTAGTGCTAGTTCTTTTTTATAAAGCAATTATTTAAAAAATAATGAGGAAGATGAACTATACATAACATAAAAACCATTTTCAAGTGTATGGTTCGATGGCATTAAGCTCATTCACAATGCCGGGCCATCATCACTGCCATCCATCGCTCCAGAATTTTCATTATTTCCATGGCCAGTGCGGGCTCTTGGGGTTCACATCCTTCATGTTATCCTTCCCAGCTTCTCGGGACCAGCAGTAGAAATGGGGAGAGCCGCCCTGAGGGGTGGGGAGTGGAGCAGATTTTCACACAGAAGACAAATTGGCCCAGAGATTTAAAAACACTGACTTCTATGCAACCACTGTGGTATTAAAAATAGAAGTTGGAGCCCTTTGAAATAAATGCATAGTAAAATGCGTCTGGATCTTAAGGACCTCACTTACGTCTCTGAAAGCAGGCTCTCTCAAGACCTGCCCTCGTTGGCAGGTGAGAAGCGATGATCACTTTCACTGGAGAAATTATGATGTTGCATAATTCAGTGGTGCCTGGTCTTGATTTTGCTCTGTGTGTAAAATGTCATCTTGTATTAATTCATTAACTGAGCTCGCTTTTCTTAAGAGCTTAATGAGCCTGCTGGCCAAACTGCTAATAGCAGACTTGCCTGGGACCTAAGTTGCAAAAGCATAATCCACAGATAATGAAGTTTCCATTTATTCTGGCTGCCCCTCAAGCTCAAGGTCCTCCTGCCCCTCTGGTTAAACATCTTGAATTCCTGTTCTATATCTGCTCTTCTGCTGCATCAATTCCAGGCTGTCTGTTCCTACCCAGAGAGCACAGTTCTCTCAAAACAGCTGCTGGCTACAGCACTGGGGGTAACCCAGGCTGGGTTTTGCACACTCTCATGCCCTCTTCACCTCAGAGCTGTTGAATGGCTGTGACACTATCAAGATGGTTTTCTAGCAGATGGCAGCTAAGTGTCTTGATTGCATACCTTTTACTAATTCACTGGGAAGTGCCATTTGGACTGGAGGAAGGACCAACGCAGCCGACACTTGTGACTTGGGCTCCTTATCTTCTACAGAATTCCTTCCTCTAGAGGCAAACTCAATTTCTTTTGGAATACTAGAATTATTATTATTGTCTATCAGATTAGAAAAGCAAAGTTTGATCTCACGTGTTGCTGGATAGGTCTTGGGAAAACAGGGAAATTCACACACAGTATCTATGCAGTATGATAAAAAAAAAGTGAATGTTTAATTATTTAGATGTATTGCAGTAAAAGATACACTGCCATTAATTCCTCTCATAATACTTCCCTTCACTTCAAACACACTTATGCCACAGTTCTTGCCGCTTTCTGAAGCAGTTCTGGGCATCCTTTTTCATGTCTTTAGTTGCACTGCTGGGGGTCAGTTGATGTTCTGGACGGATTCTACACATTTACCTTCATGGTCATTTTGACTCTGGGGAAGAGCCAGAAGTTGCACAGTGCCAGCTCTGGTGAATAAGGTGGTTAAGGATGCACTATAATTTTTTTTTAACAGAAATTACCATCAACATTTTGAATCAATTCAAGACATCAAAGTTGCCACAAAAAGATACCCATGAAAGAGGACTTGCAGAACTGAAAGTGAGGGGGAGTGTTTAGAGGGGGATTCATAGCAATGTATCTTTTGCTATAATGAAAACAGTTTCAATTTCTATTTAAACATTCACAGTAGGTTCTGATCACACCTTATATTCAGGTATGGCTGTTGGGAGGGTAAACTGGTACAAACTCCGGGCACAGCGGGGAACAATACCCAGTCTGTCTCGCATATGGACGAGATTCACATCCATGGTTCTGCATCTCTGTCCAAGAAACTGCCAGATCGAATGTAAAAATTTTTTTCTTCTCTACTGAACAAGTGAAGACTTTCTTCTGGTTATTATTTGCTACACAATACACTATAACTACTAGTTACATAGCATTAACAGTGTATTGGGAATTGTAATTAATTTAGAGATGATATAGGGTGGACAGGAAGATATCTGTATAACACCATTGGTTTTTTCTTGCTACCAGGGATCAAACTCAGTACCTTGGCACTTTTGAGGCAGGCGCCAGAACCACTGAGCTAAATCCCCAGCTGACAACACCATTTTA